ATAGCCTATACTAGCTCCTGAGAAAAGAAAACTATGTTGGTAATATTTGGGAGGGGCAGAAAGAGGGGTGGAAAGTGAAAGAGGAGAAATGGGTTGGAGAGTAACTAAAATGGTAAGTCACATCCTTAACTAAAGTACCTATGCTGGAAAAAAACATATATACCAAAAGACTGGAAACCATGTTTCTCTTGACATTTTTGCACTAGAGAGGTTTGCATTTTTGAATTTGGTTTTAATTTCTCTGAAATTACTAAAGTTCTTTTGAATAGCTGCTTTTTTTTCTTTGCATAACAATTTTCATAATTAACCCTACACTCCAAATAACTGATTTTTCAAACATTCTGATGGTTTTTTTCTAGTATTTTCAAAGACTGCTTTTAAAATACACTCTTAATAATTCAAAAATCCTTTCTTGGTTTTATCAACTTTCTTAGTCAAAGGTTTAATTGGATTCTGACCTTTTAAAATTCAGTAATACATATTTAAAATGGAAGTCCTTTACAGACTTGAGTTATGAGCTCTTATTATTCACAGTTCTGTATGGAATTGTGCAAAAGAACATACTGCTCCATTTTAAAATAGAATTGTGATATACATAAGCAAAAAGAGAACTGCAGAATCCCAAACAAGCAGTCAAAATGCTTATAAGATAAATATTTTAGGACTTTCTTTTTCTAAAAAGATCATTTGCTATTATTATCTAATTTTAAATTAATAGCAATTTATATTCCAAATCTAAACTTCTGCATTTGATACACATCAGAAACATAGTTTCAAATCATATTAAATTATTATCCATTTTCTGTTGAGGACAAAATCAGATGCTTCAAATTTGCAGACATCCTTGAACCTCTGTCAAATAATTCAACCATCAAATGAAAAGTTTATTGCTAGATCTCAACAACTGTTGCTTTATCAAAAAAAAAAGAATATTATATATTTGCATCAATTTTAAAATAATAAAATCTACACACTTCCATGTAATGACTGCAGAGGAGGCATGAGAGTAAAGTAAGGATTCAGTTTAGATATTCAAATATTATATTGGCTATATGTCATTTAACAAAGAAATTCACTGACTGCTAGTAGGTTCCTTTAATGGGGACGAAAAGTCTTTTGTATTTATTGAGTTCATTTTGTATTTCATTTTGTATTTCCTTATGCTTTAATTGTCATAAAACCCAGATTTGACTGGTGAGTAATGCAGACGGCTGCTTTTTCTTTTCATGGATGTAATTAATAAGTCATTCTCTACATTCACCTTTTAAAAGTGATAGAGGGATAACTTTTCCAGTTTTGAGAGCAAAGATTAGACAGTCCTGTCCTCTTTTAGATGTGAACTTGATCACAGTTTATAACATCAGATAATTTTAATTTGTTATTATCAAAACTTTTTAAATTCCTTTTTTTCTCTGGATGATATTTTTTTAAAACTAGGTTCAATCTGCTGTTCTTGTATATAATGATTTGCCAGGACTAGGTTGTAAACATATTCTATCTATCTGTTTTCTTCCATTTGCTCAAAACAGGTTTGTCTGAAGTTGCAACAAATAACAAAAAAGAGGAATGCAGAAATTATGTAGTGTAATATGACAGTAAAATTATAATGCCAATATTACAGAAGTAATCCAGAGAGATGCTTTCCCGAACTTAAAAACGTATGCTAAGAATTCACATAATAGCCAGATCTTGCTATAATGATTTGTAGTGAAATCTAATTTGCTTTGGTTCTTTTTTTAAAGAACAGGTACCAATTAGAGCACCATGGTTCTTATATGCACAGTTAAAACTTGCCTATGCTTAGGATTAATTTGGAGTGTCTTTTCCTAAAAATAGTCTGGTTTTGAAGTAAATAAGAGTAACTAAGCTAGCTGAAGAAAGGTATTATTATTTCAGAATCAAAGGGTCGACACATGCAGTTTTTATGAAACAGTTTTGAATAGTTCCTAACTTTAAATTTATACCCTATCTTAGTCTACAACCATATTTATATTTAGCCAGTCCTTACACAAAATTAATCATGGGCTTAAAATTAGGCATATGCAGAATTTTACAAAATCAAGGTTCAGCTGTGCATTTTAGCCAAAATTTCTTGGTATATGTTAATACATCTCATAAATGTTATAAGCATTTCAGATTCTTCTGCCCTAGCTGAAGATCACTGTGTTGTGTCCACAGAACTACAGCATAGTGAATGAGAGATCAAATTGTTTTCAGAAAAATATTTAGTGTCTGATAATTATGGCTATTTTGTTTTGTTTCAATAATTAGTCTCCATGCCCCCTCAAAATTCAAACATTGCATATTTTGCAGGAAGGAGGAAAATCCTGGAGTATTTCCTTTCTCAGAACAAATCATGTTTTTAAGACCCCCTTGCATTTTCTCCAATGTACCACTGGGTAGACAAGCTAACAAGAGTGAAATGAACCATGCTATACATCACATACAAATTGAACAAAAAAACCTCACAATAAAACAGTGATACTGTACAATTATAGAGAGATTAAAATATCACTGTTATTTATTTGTTTTTTTCCTTTCACAAGAACCAACTGATTCAGGCAGGCAAATATAATTCAGCCAAGATTTTGTAGAACATTTTCTCTAAGTATGTTTCGTTGTTAAAAGCTTTTTTTATTTTCATTTTCATGAATTGAAGCAGTATTAAGTAAAATATATTTCTAAAATAAATTAATTAATTAGATTTATAAACAGATATAATGAACTAATGAAAATCAGCCATTCCACTTACGCTGTATATTTTGACTATTTGAATGTCCTTAAAAGAAATGAAAAAAACAGACCTTTCTTTATCTGTACCTTTAAATATCAACTAATGGTGAACAACATTCTCAGCCTCCTGCAGCAGTGGGCAGCCTCCAGGACATTAGAACCTATCATCTAAAGTAATGTTTGAATTGGAAAACTGCTATTTGCCTACTTCATCTACTTAAACTGCACAATAATCAATGCTGGTCGGGTGCCAAATTAAACAGCCTCAAGTGATTCTACTACCTCTGTATTGTTTTCTTGAGTGGCTGCCACAGAACTCAGCTTGGATTGATTTGTGATACTAAATCATGTGGTACAGAATAAGGGCAATAAGGTTGGATGAGATAGTGCTGCTAGTGTAGGACTGGAACAGTTTGCTGCTATGCGGCCTTCACGAATGTATGCAGAAATGTGTTCAAGAGGGGTTTAATAGCAATAGGAAAGGCAACTGTTGCATGAGATCACAGCCTCTCACATGAGATCTCACTAGCTACACCCCAGTGCTTTAGTGTGGTAGGTGGACATTAGGGCAACAAGACAGCAAATTATGACAGGAAAAAAATATGTGCAGCGTCTTAGATCAGAGACTTGGCTATTATGATCATTGTAAGGTAGTGTATCTTCATACAATTCAAATTCTCAAACACAAACACTTATTCTAGACATTCGGATTTGGTTAGAAGGGTTACAGAAAGCAAACAGTTTAGGAAGAAGCCAACTAAGTAGTCACTAGCATCATCTAGTGGAATGACAGCCTTATTATGGAAGTATGTACAACAAATAACAATTAAAATGTGGTAAATGGTTTGCGTCTCTCAGTCTGATTTTGAGAAATTAGAAGTTATGATGCCCCAAGATATAAATTGAATTTTGCAGAATTTTGCAGATTACCTTTGGGATCTTACCTGGTTTTTCGTGTTGTAAATCTGTGAGTTTTAATCCTGAAGGTGCGTGACTTAGGTCATCTAAAGACCAGTCACAGGGAACAGTGGAATCTCATTCTGATCATTGGTCAGGTCTTGTTGGCTAAAGTCTCCCCTTGCTGCAAGAACTATTTATTGTTTATTATACTGATTTAACATTGCTATGGGCCACAACTGTAATTTCTCATAGCACAATCTCTCTTCTATACTTCAATAAGCAAAATACATAGTTACTAACAAATTATATAGTGCCACTTAACCACACTGTAGGCCTAATCCTATTAGCTTCATTAAAAATAGAATCAGTTCCAAGATCGCAAAATCTCTCTTTTTTTGTGTTGAATTAACACAGTCATGCATTTAAAATTGGGATCATGTTCTTGACATGAACAATTCAAATCACTCTACAAATCTGACATATTTTTCTCAGACATTTCATTTTCATTTTCCGTAACCGTCACTGCTTCCAGAAAAATCTTATTCTATTCCAATAAATAACATAAAAAATAAAGTAATTCATGATAACCAAAATAATTAAATAGTAGGATCAGGTTAAAGATCAGCATTCATTTTTCAAATTAAATTTAAAAGTCTGAGGTAGTTACTTAGAAGATTGGCAATTTTTACAAATAACATCACCGAGCCTTTTAGAGAGAAACACAGTCGCATTAAAATGGAGTCATTAGGCAATACATTTATTTTGAAGCCAATTAACCTTTTGTCAGAGAAATGTCGGAGCTGTAATGGTTTCAGCAGTGCAGGTCAGCCTCTAACAGGGGCACGTATGACAGTGATTACGCTGCCTGACATATGCTGTAGACTGAGAGTACAGCTGTGGAATGAGAATCTGCCTTAGTTTGTATTCTGCTCTGCATTTTCAGGGAGCAGGCAATCTTGACCTATCCATTTAGGTAATTAAAGCTTCTATTTGGAAGTGTCCTGCAGGAAGGTGAAATTTGGGGGAGATAAATGGCTGCTGCTCACTGTTTCCAGCCACTTCCATCATTTGATGGACTGCCTGAAATAGGCTGCATTGCCAGGTCCTCATAAAAATAGAGATGAATTGGGCATGAGACAATTCTCTAAGGCAAAGCAACTCTGTCATCTTCCTTTTTGCAGTATATAATTTAATTGTTAGCCAAGGTAGACAGCTGACTCAAGGGCCTTTCTCTAACAGCTTCCCCACCATCTTCCATTTGCTAAGAAATTACTCCAGTTTATTTACTTATAAGCCAACTTTGTTTGGCAATGAGAGATGTCACTTCAATAAGCTCAGCTGGCTGTCACAGCTGCGCCCCAACTTACCTTCCAGGCTATTTTGTTTCCTTTTGTATCATGCTCAAGGGCAATTGGGAAGTCTCCTCGCTCATAAAACTTGCGAAATGCTGTGGGCTTTGTTGGTCTTTCTTTAAATGCTCCTGCAACTGGGGGGCCTCTTACCTTAAAAAAACAAAAAAACAAAAACAACCCCCCCCCTATAATTTAGCGGTAATATAGTTTTAGAAAAAGCTTAATTTTTACAGGTCAAAACAGATACAGATATGAAAGCAGTATAGCATTGATCTCATAGATTATAATTCATCTTATTCTTTACAAGTTATACTTTACTTTTTTTACAGTACATTTTTTCCAATGATCTACAGGTTTCGTTAACGGCTTTTTTTTTGGTTATCACTTTCAGATTCTCCCATTAAAACTGTTTAAGTTTCAAAGTGGCTATCTCAATTGCCCCAACATTTTTAAACAAGAATAAAACAGTAAGTACATAATATTTACAATATGATTACTTATTCTTCTTTATTTGACAGAAGTTCTTGGAAAATTAAGCATTTCTCCTTGTGAAATACTTTGCTATTTATTTGCTTATAGAATTAAGGCTCAAATTACCTTACTTCGGCTTTTTGGCATAGATAGATGTAAAGCACACAAGATATTAGGTAGACCATCTTGTAAGCATACAAGGGGGAAAGAAGCTGAAGCAGTACCAAGTGTCTAAAATCTCTTTTGTGTAAACTCTGTCTTTTTGGCAACATGATCTTCATTCCTATTGAGTTCAAAGAGATTGCTTGGTATTGGGCCTGGATGACAAGCATAGTAACATTCTCTATTAAACTGACGATATTCCTCCACAACCTCTACTTGAGTGTAAGATAGATTTTACTATCAGAATCTTCTGCAAAATCCCACTTTTTGCCTTTTATAATCTCTTGAAAAGGGATAAAGTGCAAGAAAGGGTGATTATTAAGAGAAAAGAAGCCAAGCTGGAACTATGAAGTCACATGGCAGAGGGACTGAAATCTGAAGAATTCTCACCCTATTTACAGCCCAATATTTATTGTATTCACTAGTGTATTTAATGTCAGCCAAGAGAGCTTGATTCTCTCTTCTAACATTCATATAAGTATAAGCAATTCTAGTAAAATGACAATGGATTACGTCTGGTATAAAACTAAAGTCTTTTACAGTTTTCAACAGTAAGGCCTTGTCTGTGAAAGGGAATTGATCAGTATAACTCTTAAGGAATAAAATAAACTGATCTATAAAAAAATTCTAGTCATTTATGGCTTCTTGCTACTCTGTCCTTTCAACACTCTATAGGCACCTGTAGCAAGCTAAATACCTCCATCTGAACCTGTGTCTGTGTATAGAGCATCTTCTCTTTCAGAGTCTTTTCTCTCTCCCTGGCCTGGCACAATTAGTTACAAAGTTTACCCTCTTTGAGTCTCTCAGCCATTCAACTTTTTTATTCATACTTTTTTTCAACAACATTGCATACAGGTTGTCTCTCTTTCTCCTTTCCATGTTCTTTCTCCCTCTCCTCTCCTCACAGTTACCCACAGTTATCCTCAAACGCTCTCTTCTTCCACTGCAATAGCTTATTTAATGTCCTGTTTTCTTGTTATCCCAGTTAAGTCTATTCATTTGACTTGGTTTCTGTCTGACCTAACTCTTCTCTCCAGTCTTTTCTTTGTCTTCCTCTGGCCATTTCCTAGTCTCCTGCACCAGATCTCCTCCTCAGAGGCTATGAATCTGGCCTTGCACTGGCAGGAATGAAGAAAAGTCGTCTCTAAAACCTCTCCTATCTGTGTTGCGTTGGAGGAAAAAACTGGATTCAGGTCTGCTTGATTCCTTATCTGAATAACGGTTGATCAGCATATTGTGTAGCCTTAGCGCTTGAATGACAGTCCAATCCCAAAAAAGTTCATGCTGGAGTTTTTTTCTGTCAGACATAGCAATAACAGCAACTAACAATTCGCATGAACATAATACAACACTTAAAGTACTTATAAGAAATCTGTTGTTCAAGCTAATTAGCAAAGCTAATCTCAAATGCTAAAAGAGATTAAGAGAGCTAAGCTAGTTTCAGATGCCCTTGACCGCTGACTCTTTCTACAGCACTCTGGCCTATTTTTCCATTTTTATACCCATTCACCTGGGATAAGAACTGTACAGAATTCTCTGCATACTTCTTTGTGAAAAATGCCTTTATGACTTGTTTCCTGTTATAAATATAGAAAGTGTTGTTTTCAAAGCACAGTGAGAGCTTTAAGAATCATAAAATGCATCTATTATTTTGTTTTGTTCTATTTGTCTCACTATGTGTCTCAAAGTCTTCAAGGACACTGACATTGGTTTTTAGCAGCACAGGCATTCAGCTCTCCAGTGAACAGAATACTAGTATGTGACATCCTGTGCTTCATTTATGATATTCTGTAACTTCACTGTGCTAACTACTGATCAAAATCTGACTTTACATTTTTTTTTCTCCAAAGTATTTTGACATCATTTTCCACTTACCTAGAGGAGTGAGGTAGTGGGGTCCATAAGTAATATGCCTAAATTGTACTTTACTACAAATTGCATAAACTATGGCTACTAAATGTGACCTACTGTCACACATTACTATGACAGATATATCATGTCTAGTGAAAGCAGATTTGATATGCATTGCTGTAACTTTCCTTAGTAAACACACCTGAAGCAGCTGAGAATAATACTCTAGGAAAAGCATTTCCAGTCAATGTAAATAAATCTACCCTTATTGTTTTTCAGAGGAACAATTTGTTCTGTGCCATCAGTATAAAAATGTTCACTTAACTTGTCTTTACTTTTTTTTTGCGTTTGAGGCAAACCTATGAGTCACTGCTCATTTGAGGCTACTATAAAGCATTTATGTTCTTTTCTTGATATCACATGACCTTCCTTTTAAGTATGTTTTTCTACAAAATATTAAGAGCCCCTGTTCTGTTATAGCCTAACTTAAATTATTGATAAGGAATGTATAGTCTTTATCATATGAGCTACAGCCTTAATTATTTCTTGCAGAGTCTCGTCAATAGCAGTGGCTAATGCAATCCCAAACTACATCTTATCTGAAATCAGAACATTTTCTTCTTCAAAATTCATGTTAGCAATTTTGCAATGAATTTTTTTGTACTGAACCTTTGCAAAATTTCTAGAAAATATGGTTGTGTTAATTGAACTTCTTCCTACTCTTCACTGAGGAAGAAAGAAATTAGGCGTGGAAGGAACTTTGTTATCTAGCCCATTTCTCTATTATTCTAGACAACTCTATCATACAGGCTTTCATAAATTGATCACAAATCTAATCATTTGTCCCTTTACTGTTGAAAGACTGTTGTACATCATCCTTACTTTGGTGGTTAGAAATTACATCTCAAATTGTATGTCTAGTCTGATCCTCCACCTCCAAAAAAGATATGGTAGAATTAGAAAAGTTTCAGAGAAGGATAACAGCAATGACTGTAGGTATGGAATGGCTTTTACACAAGAAATGAATAAACTAAGATTCTTTGGCCTGGAAAAGTGATGGCTAGGGAGGAGTATAATGAAGATCTATAAAATCATGACTTCATAAAGAGAATGGATAAGGACCGACTGTTTACTCTCTCTTTCAGTAAAAGTAGAGGGTTTCAAAAAAATCCAGTAAATGGCAAGTTTCAAACAAAAAAAAAACAGTTATTCATTCATGCAATGAATAGTGGATTTGTAGAACTGCTTGCCACAGTTCAGTGCTGTGAATTCTAAAAGTTTATGTGTATTCAAGGTGTGACTGGAAAAGCTGATGGAAGAGAAATCCATTCAGGTTTACTACAACCACATTATCAGTGATTAGAAATACAATCAGTACTAGATACCGTCTGTCTAATAGACCTCCTAGTGTTACATTTACTCTCTTACGGCAACGTCACACTAGCCTCGCATAGTCATCTTTGATTTATTGCCACAGCAACTACCTTATCCAAATGATGAGCTTCATGTTAATAATATAATTTCTTGTCATTAGTTCTAAGTTCATAACCTTGTACTTTGTACTATTATATTTAATCCCATTTCTACTACACCTGTTCTCAGGGGCTTCCACTTCCATTTATGTGACACTGTGATCTTCATCGGTATTAATAACACCTCCAAACTACATGTCAACCATAAATTTCATTTTACAACCCTAATTTTTTTACCAAGGTCACTAACGAACATGTTAAATAAGGGTACCCCTAAAACCAGTTCTCAAGGGGTTCCATTAATAACTTTCCTTATCATACCCTTCCTTTCAACACTACGTGTTACTGTCTCCTCTTCAATATGGAGTTTCTTATCCAACTTACCCATCTCATAATTCTTATGTCATAAAACTAATAAAGTAGTGACATACCAAATGCTTGACTGCAGTTTAGATAGAGGAATCTCCTGTTTTTCCTTTGTCTTAAAGAAGGTTTTCTTGTCAGTTTGGTCTGTAATAGGAGTACAGACCTTTTAATTGTGAGGAAGAGCACCTGACCCCAAAGTGAGGAAACAGTATAGACAGGAATGAGCCTAAGGTCTGCCTAGAATAAAGAAATATCACCACTCAGGAAAAGAGTGGAACTATCCCGGCATTGAGGAAATGGTACCTTATATGATTGAACTGTTGCTAAGCTTTAGGTTCACTGCACTGAGCCAACTTGTTCCTTCTGTTCACATCTGAGTAAAATTAAGAGAAATCTGCTGGAGTGGCAGCACGGAGCTAATACTCTTTACTTTTTGCAAATAGTTTCCTCTCCTTCCTTTCTTTACTACTAGGGACACCATCACTACCATATTCGGTATTCAGATCTGAACATCATTCTTAAATGTAGACCTCTCTGGAGGTCACTTCAGCCATATATCTTGCTGAATTCTTGTGCAAAAATTAGATAATATATGGCCTTCCCTATCCATACACAGAACTTATCTTTCTTCCAGAGTCTCACCACCTCAGGTATTAATTGCTAGGATGCTCTTTTCTCTCTTCTTGACAAATTCTGATTTTATCCACTGATATCATCAAATACACAGCTGTAGAAAACATTCTCTTGCATCACTATAACTGTCACTCTCCTGTTAACAATCCCCTCCTATCTACATAAACTATACAGTTACATTTATCATTCTCAGGT